TTAATCCTATGTAAGAGTATCTTCTAGCATTGTCATGATGTTACTAGCTTTAACATTTCGATAATGCTAGGATGCATGTACAAGGGGATAAAATTAAGCAGGGAAGAATTACTCCATATCATTTTACTACCCTAGTTTTGTAGTTGCTCGATGTCATTTTTCATGACGACATTTGTCTCCAATGTCAAGAAAATTTTTACAGTATATCTAACTCATGACGACATTTGTATCCTAAATATATGACTTAAACATATTCCATGTACTTATATTATGATATGAGACAATATACATTATTCTTTTGGCTTATATATTGAATTTATCCCTTAGTTAAAGGCTAATTTTGATTTTTTGTTATGGTTTTTTAAAGGTAACATTGTCAAAGGTCAGCAAAATGTGTTAAATAATCCACATACCTCGTGTGGTTCAAATATACCATGTGATTCAGATGGGGATTGCATCATCCCTTGCAAGAAGCATGGGGGCGGAGGGTGCTATAATTTTGGAAATCCAAGTGGTGCTACATTTTGTTGTTGTAAAGATAGATGGCCTCCTGCATATTAGTAAATGAATTGATTACATTTATGAAAACTATTTTTTAAATTTTGACATGCTTTGATATCTTTATTTTTATAACGCCCGATATAAACAACTTAGCTTTTCATATACTTCCTCCGTCCCACAAAAAAGTTCTCATTTTGACCATAAATTGGTCAAACAGTTACACGCTTTGACCATAAATTAAATATAATCTAAATAAAGAAATGCTAAAAAAATTTGAGATATCAAAACTAGATCCTAAGATGAATCCAATTATATTAAATTTATTTTATAATTCAATATACCTTTCTCAATATTTGTAATCAAAGCGTGTAAATATTTGACTAAATACTATTCAAAATGGGAACTTTTTTGTGGGACGGAGGGAGTATTAAAATGAATAAAATAAGTGTGCCTCTAAGAACTATAAAAAAAGAGGAATTTCCGTAAATAGCACTAAAACATAATGACTTTCCCCAAATAGCACTACATGTGTTTTTCTTCCAATGTAGCACTTTTAGTCATTATTCATTAGTCATTATTCAAATAAATCTTTGCCATCAGAGGTCATTATGGACATTATGAAGTGCTATTTAGAAAATAAAAAAATTTAAGTGCTACTTAGAGAAATGATTTAGGTTTTAGTGTTATTTAGTGCAAATATTTCTAAAGAAAATTGCCTTAAAAAGATGTGTATATAATAAATGTTAAGTTATACTCCGTACTAGCTAATATATACCCCTTTTTTATAAATTGGTTTAGCATGTTTGCATTAATGGTGCGATTAAGAGTGTATAAGCTAGAGTGTAACCACATGTGTTGTCCAAGTGTAAAGGGAAAATCAATCACAACATATCATGAACCTGGGCTCCGATAACACATGTTGGGATCTCGTGCCTCACCCAACCCCACATTAGTATCATATTGATCTCCGCTATGGGTCAAGCCCTCATGGATTTGTTTTTGGACACCATCTAGCGCCACCGTTACACACTTGTGGGACACGCCGCCCGATCTTAATTCTCCGGTCGGGAAGACTTTTGACATAAGGAATACCGCATACCACCAAGGCGCCAATCCACTAATGTCACACATTACAAAAAAAAAACTTGACATTTTGTGGCACCATATTTTGCCACAAAATATAAAAAAAATTAGTCACAATTACTATTTGTAGCAATTTCAGAATTTGCTACAAAGTTGCCACAGATACTCCGTTACAAAAGATATTTGTTGCAGATTTAAATTTGTCAAAAAAATCATAATTTTTGTGGCAAATTATGATTTGCCACTCATAAAACTTTGCCAAACAAGCTCCTGTTTTGTGGCACATCTTAATTTCAACAATTTATTATTTTCCACAAAAAATCATATTTAGTAGCAAATTTATTATCCCACAAATTATACTTTGCCACAAAAATTTACGTAGTATAGAAAATTTCAATTGCTACAATTATCACTTTATTTTATTTGGCAAAACCTAATACTAGGGAGAATCAAATTTCTTCAAATTAAATTAGTATAGAAATCCTTTTTAATGACACTATTATTAGTATTAGTATAATTATAATATTAAATGCAATAATTTTTGTTATATTGTATTTACATTTTATATTTAATGATATATGTGATGACAAAAACAATAATAACAAATATAAAATAGAGTACAAATTAATTACTAAAAAACATTTATTAAGTGAAAGTCACGTCATATGCCAAGATTAAAAACCAAATATATGCTACCCATAATTCCAAACAGTCAAAGGATCACAATGTTAATATAATAAGATCTTGAAAAATAAAAACTTTAAGTACAGTACTAATAAACAAATCTTTTTGGCAAAAGTATCCCAAAATATTCATCTATTCATTTCATGTTGTCACTTCTATCTTAATTGTATAATTCTTTCTTTTAAATATTCTTGATGTAACAGGCAACATAGATTAATAGAATAAATGAACGATGTTTTTCTTCTTTTCACTCCATACATAAGAGGGAAATATTAATTATTCGTCCATCATTTCATTTGTGTATATGTGTGACTCCACCACTTAGAATGTTTTTGCCCCTCATCACTTATCCTTACAACAACAAAGACCTATGGGATGACCGGAGAAATGATAGCAGTGTCCGCCGCCATGGTTCTGACAAGGGTTGATGCAGTCTGCAGATGTATCACACGGTATATTGGTACTGCAGGGGAGATTCGGTAGGAAGAACTCATTTCCTTGAGCTTTTGCATTTGGAACTTCTATTTAAAGAAAAAAAAACATAACAAAAATTAAAGTTATTAGGTATGTGTTAAAAAATGTCTAAATTAAAAAAAAGTTTAAATTAAAGGAAACATAACAAAAATTGAAATTTTTAGGTGTTAGGTATTTTAAATTTTTGTAGTCTCTCTGTTTCACAAATCACTTCCGTCTTAATAAGTTGTGCAGCTTATAAAACACTTTAACTTCATCTAAAATGTTCAAAGATACCCTCAAAACAACATCTACCCGTTAGAGTGTGTTTTAGACATTTTAAGAAGGGTAAAAATATTTTGATGGATGCACAAAAAATTAGGTTGAAAATATTTTGTGAAAGGGAGATCAGATACTATATGCCAATCAATGGGATATATATAAAGTGCCTACCCAGTGCAAGAGTTATCATCATAATGACAAATAACTTACTCATCAAACTCCCACTCATATTTTTCTTTTTTTTTCTTTTTTTTTTTTGAGGGAATTTTGGTCTTTGTTGTTTAATCCTCGATCAAGTGCTGAGAAGTAGTATTGTTGTATATGTGTCCATGGATATTGGATAGATCTCTCTTTTTATAGTGATAGAAAACGCAAAGGATTCGTTTTCATACTATTAAAGCTCAGCTAATACGTACCTAATTTTATTTATGGCTAACATCTAAACATTTTCTACTTTTGGCCTCCAATACCATTAATCTGTATACTCCCTCGATTCCCTCCATTTTTAGATATTTTCTTATGTTATTTCCTTTTTGTATACATAAAAAAAATCGTTTTTATTGGAAAATTTTGAGTGAATCACATTCTTTCTCGGTCAAATAGCATCAGTACGCCCGTGGTTTAGAAAATAAGCATCAATGACGACCCTCATGTTTTCAAAACTTATTTCTAAGGTTTCCGTGGTTTCAAAATGTTGCACCATACCCCATCTAATCGTTTTCCGGCCATTTTTCCGACGAAAAAGGGGCATTGATGCCTATTTTCAAAACTATAGGGGCACTGGTGCTCATTTCTTATTTTTAGTTTGTTTTTTTGTTTTTTTCCTTTTTATGTTTCTTTTATTAATCAAAGTTTTTTCAATTTATTTTTAGAATTTTTTTATTAAGTTCTTAAATTTAAAATTATTTTTCTTTCGAATTTTTTTAACATGTACTGCATCAGTACGTCTCAAATTAACAATTTTTATTTTTACTTTCTAAAATTAAAATTTAAAACTTGTTTAGAGAACTTCGAAAAATAAGGAATAAAATAAGAAATAAAATAAAACGAAAAATAAAAATGAATATCCTTGTTGGACATCTCATTTCTTGGAACTTTTTTAGGCGTTCTCAAATTTTTTTTGTATAGGGGAATATACATACCTAAATATTACTCCCTCCGTCTGAAAAAGTCCTTCACGTTTCAAAAAAATTGTGTCCCTTAAAGTCTTTCTCATTTCTATTAAAAAATCACTTTACCTCTTATTTTTTCAAATCATACCTTTCACATCATACCTTTTTCCTATTAGAAAATTTTTCAAGAAACTATAAAAAAATTGGGAAAGAAAAGAGAAAAACTTAATGTTGGAAATAATTCGAAAAGTATTCTCATGGATTCAAAATTGCTTATGAAGTTTCTAGATTACATACATACGGAGTATAATATATGACAATGAAAAACAAATTAAGAAGAAAATTAATTAATATGTCCTCCATTCTTGATAACCCGGATGCATTAGAGGTGTTTGCTTCTTTGGCCTTACCTGAGAATAAAATAGAGGAAAAAAAATCAATTAATGAGTTTTTCGAACACAATTATTTAAATATTCAGTTAGAACAAATCAACAAATTAAACAACTTTAGAGATTAATATGTTACTTACAATTCGATGGTTTCCATCTGAGAATTGACTTTTCTCGATCAAATACCACACGATAACCGGTCATGAAATTATCTAGAGAAATAAACAAAGCGTATTATATATTAGCAATGAACTAATTAAGTGGTCGTTATTAATGTAATACAAAAATGCAAAAAATGAATTGCCTTCTCAGAACAAGTTTCGGGATACTTACGTCCAATTATATTGACCGTGTTCATTGTATTGTTAATAATTCCTAAACAATAGACCTGTTCGGCCATAGAGAATCGAAACAAATCAAAATCATATAAATTGTTAGTACTAACAAATTAAACAAAACTAATTAATCATGGAGAAAAAACTATAACCATATGAATATCATACTTGTGAATCTATTGTTACTGTGGGAGTGATAACATTGAAATGACCCCCTCCTCTTGTGTTGAGCCTCAAAGAAGGAGTCCAAAATAGGGTTTTATTTGATCTGCAACCATGAAAAATAAAAAAATAATAAATACATCATCAATTATAATTAAGGCCCTGATTATAAATGTAAATAAATACAGTAAGGAAAATATTTATTCACTTAATTTCAACTCACTCGCGGATGTAACAAAAGTCAAAAGGGACATCTGCGACTTGAATCGGTGGGTCCTTGACAAAAGCATTAAACTGCATGGGTGCAAAATAATGCATTATTATTAGTTTTATTATTCCACTCACACATGTATATGTGTGTATATATATGTAAGATGTGGGTAAATGATATAATTAAGTAATAAAGTGAAACTCACAATTTTTGTGACCATAGTATATGTTGGCTCAGTCAAGGTGGTGATACTTGAACCTGAGTCAAACATGGCTTCAAACTCGATATTGGCTACAACTTTTTCCACACATATTTTATCTATGCCTATGTTGTACCATACGCTGCATATATTCAAAAAAATTTCAGATTAATCATGTAACGTTATTATTTCAAGTGAACTTAATTCTAAGTGAAGTCAATAATTAAACACATCCAAATATATGCATGGAACTATTTCCAAAAATTATACCGAGTATTATTTATTAGGTAATTAATCTTTTGTGGGAGCCCTCCAATAGTGGCGTCACCATCTGGTCAGCGTCACCTTTGTCACCAAAGGCAACCCGACCACTCCCGTCGGGTGCGAAACACAACGAGAACGAGTTGGGAACGAGCCCCCTCGATGACAAGAGGCTCGTCAAATCCAACACCGCGTGCCCGAGACCAAGGAAGCCATTGATCGCGGCGTCTTCCAATAGAAATCCGCTCACAACTTCTCCGCACCTAATTAACAAAAAAAACACATAATTATATATGGACAAAAAAAAATGTAGAATTTGATAAACTGAATGACTTGATTGTTTCATTGATACCGGGGAATATATATACAAGTTACAGTTACAAGCCCAATAAGATAGGCCCACCATGGTACAACAGTTTGTCGATGTGCGATTAATTAAGTAAACAACAGTTTTGACACATTCCCCCCAAAATTCAACTAGAAGAGATGCTTGAAACATGAGAGAACGAGCAACGTTGAGAATGTGACGATGCTTTCGTTCTACTCGACCATTTTGCTGAGGGGTACCAACACACGATGTTTGGATACAAACACCCATGGAATCGTAATATTGACGCAAAGGGGCATTGAGAAATTCGGTGCCATTATCAGACCGGACTACTTTGATGATTTTAGAGAATTGGGTGTGAATCATGGTAAAGAACCGTTTAAGACAAGATGTTACCTCACTTTTAGTACGAATAAGATATACCCAAACAGCACGAGAAAAGTCATCAACAATTGTGAGAAAATAATGAGCACCAGATGACAAACACGCGGAATAAGGACCCCATAAATCACAATGAATTAAATCAAAAATTGCTTCACCTTTATTATGAGTAACAGGAAAGGAAGAACGAGTTTGTTTAGACAAAAAACAAATCTCACAAGCTTGAAGTTTCTTGATAACAGAACCTGATTTACTGGACTGTAAAAGGGAAATAATATCTGAGGAAGGATGACCCAAACGTTGATGAAGAAGCAAAGGATCCACGTTAGCCACATTAGCCGACGCAGAGGAAGAAACCAGGATGTATACTCCGTTTCGCTTTTCACCATGTCCAATCACCATCTTCGACGAACGGTCCTGGATTACACAACCAAAATCATTAAAAGTAACATAACAGGTGGTGTCCCGAATCAAACACCCAACAGAAATCAAATGACAATGTAGCGTGGGGACATAAAACACATGATGGAGAACCAGACTAGAGGTCTCACGGACACTTCCCTTTTTAGTAGCCTGAATTCGGGAGCCATCGGGAAGACATATAGGATGAGATAAAACATCCTCAATATTGAACATGTGAGACAAAGTACCCGTCATATGATGAGAAGCACCGCTATCAATCAACCAATCACACGAGTTACTAGTCATCATGTTAATTTTATGTTGAAGTTTACCAAATAGATCCAAACTGCTAGACAAATTGCAAAATGGTAAATGAACAAATCTGGACTTGACGGAGCACTTGTGGAAAAGCTGCTGCGCAAATTGGACACTGCTACAGTGAGGATAGGCAATTGGACGGAAACAGACCGGCGAACAAATACGGTGATTCTTCACAAATCTGGGCGACTTCTACGGAAAAAGGACAAATCTGGGACGGCAAATCTGGGCGAACAGGGACGAATCTGGGCGAACAGGGACGATGGCCGACGGACGAATCTGGGCGGCGAATCTGGGTGACGGGCGTTCAGAACTGGAACGGGCGACGATGGCCGACGGGCAACGACGGCGGACTTGGACCAACGACTTGGACGGAGACTCCCAACCAGGGCAGAGATGGCCGATCCCGTGACAGTGACAGCGGAAGAGACTTGGACAGTTCACCGGCGAGGGACTCACGACGTTCCGGCGTGGACAACCGGCGGCGCAGACAACTGGCGAATGAGAGACGAGATTTGCAGCGGCAGACCTAGGGTTTCACCTGATATCCCAGGTTTGGCTCTGATACCGTGTAGAATTTGATAAACTGAATGACTTGATTGTTTCATTGATACCGGGGGATATATATACAAGTTACAGTTACAAGCCCAATAAGATAGGCCCACCATGGTACAGGATATACATAAACTAATATCTATACATAATATACGCTAACAAAAAACTCGAATTCCTAGGCTGGCTAATTAAGTAACATGATGATATATAAAAAAAACGTAACAATGGGCATTCGAATATATTGGAGGGTACCCGAAGACCACCGGGGCAACGATATGGTCGAGTTGGGTGGCGGCGGCATTAGTGTTGTCATACGCTTCGAGGTGCATAAAGTCCTCGACAAGAAAGCCCTTAGTGGCTGTGTTTGGGGACATGTAGCTATAGTCGTAGGTGCACGGTGTGGGTGCGAGGAGGGGGCACGACCGGCGGCTGTCGCCGAAGCAGTATGAGCTGTTACACCGAACAACCACACTCGTCGACGATGAACCCGGCTCGTACGAGCTGAGGCTCATCACCTGCATGCATTTTTGTTTGTTTTGGAGACAAATTATTAAATCCTATGTATATATGAAATAAGTTGGCCGAGCAACCTAACCAAAAACAAACACACATATACCGTGTTTGGAGGTATGGTGTAGGAAGTTGCACAGTCCTTGCAACGACAGGGCAACCAAAACAAATCACTCCCCGTGTCCAGTGCCACCAGAAACGGAACGGGGGGAGTCCCAATATGAATACGGGCATATTGCAAACTGATCGATCCCAAATTCATTACGTCATATATGGAAATTAAACAATTAATTAGAACGTAACAATTGATAATATGCAACAGAAAATAGATTTATTTATATATTTTTGCCCATATATATATACATCAACTACTTACGATCCCAATTTGTCTATGCGCGTGGTGACATCGCCGCCTTGAAAGGTAAATGCGTGCCGCCGGTGACGGTGTTGATCTCGAGCTGCCATGACCGAATAGTATGCGGCGGTGCCCTTCATGGGCAGACCGGAACCTCCCAAGACTCTGACAACCTCGTCGGAGTCTCTATGATGAATGTCATAATGCAGCAGCTGCTGCTGGCCGGAGACAAGACCATCGAAACATCCTAGTTGAACTGCTACCAGAAAGATAAGAAGAAAATCAAGAAATGCTAAATCTTTACTACTCATGGCTGCTAGTTAGCTCAAGGGACGAAAAAGAGAGCCGGGGGCCGGGCCTGGCTAATTGAGCTAGCTAGCTAGCTAGTTGGTATATGTAGAAGAGTTAATTATTTGATGCTATAGATTGGCAAGAATTGAATGGAGAGATCAATGCATGTATAGGATTTATAATGCTCGTATTACTTTGGGTCTAAGAAATTAAACCAAGCTTAGCTTTTAGTTAACCATACACAATTTCCTTTAAGAGGAGTACCTACGTATATACTCCCTCTGTTTGGAAAAACTCTTCCCATTTGATTTGGGGGCAAAAATAAGAAAGTGTTAAATTATAATTGATTTCCAATTTTACCCCTGATGTGATGGGTAAAAGTAAGATGTGATGGATAGATTATTAGAGAAAAAGTATGATGTGATAGGTAGGGTATGAAAAAGTAAGGGTAAAAGTGATTTTTTAATAGAAAGGGGAAGTGTTTTGTTGGAAGTGGAAAAAATGAAAGAGGAAGTGTTTTTAAGAACGGAGGGAGTATATAATATATTCCACACTGTATGTATCAGTGGTCCTCGGGCACAAATAATTAAATATGCAGTCCTTTGTGTGAAACATTTTAAATAGATAGCTTGCAATTATTTCTATGTTTAGTAAGAGATCCAATTACGGTGTAAAAAGGATTGTATTCAGATGGAATGTGCTTTTACCAAATTTATATCCAATAATTTTTATCAGATATTGAATTCATTTACTGGATACTAAAAATCAAACTCATATTCCCATTCATTAGATATCGGATACATCTATATCTATTTGCAAATTTTCAAACTCAAATTAAGCTATATACAGAGTAGTCCATATACATACTTTTGATATATTTATTCTTTTAAAATTTGTCACAAGTAATGTTTTCTTATTTTTTTTATCTACAGTATTCTACGAAAACTCATATGAGAAAAAGTACTCATATTTTTTTTATGCGTACACATATATTTAAAATATAAAGATAGATGTATTATTATTCTTTGAGATGTTAACTAGAAAAACAAAATATATACTCTCTTCGTTCTTTTAAACATTTTTATTTTGACTTTGAATAAAAATAAAGAAAGTGTAATTTTGGTTGATTTTCCAATTTTGCTCCTGATGTGATGAGTAAAGGGAGAAAGACCAAAGTAGAACTAAAACATTGAAGATATACCGAAATAGGACTTCCATGTTTTTATTCCCAAAATAGGACTTACATTACCATACATGGTCATATACATTACCAAGAAAGTATAGTAATTTGCACATGTATGCTGCCACATTACTACAATGCAAAGTCACATTACCACAATGCAAAGTCCTATTCTGGGAAAAAACATTAAAGTCCTATTTTGGTGCTTTTCTCTATGTTTTAGTCCTATTTAGGATGATTTCTAATGAGTAAAAGTAAAATGTGATAGTTTGGCTATTAGTGAAAAAGTATGATGTAATTAGGTAGGGTATGTAAAAGTAGGAGTACAAGTGATTTTTTAATAGAAAGTGGAAATATTTTAAGGAATTAGAAAAAACAAAAAAGAAAGAGTTTTATGAAACAGAGGGAGTATATAACTATATAAGGAATTTACCAAATTCTTATCTCCTTACTAACCGGATGTTTTTAAATGGATACGGATAATAACAATTTTAAACTAATGTAAATATTTTTCGTACAAAGGAATATGGATACAAATGCAGTCTGTTAGACAATAATACTAATAGTACTTTTTGTAGTATTGGTTATGGTAGTGTTTCATTATTAGTCAGTTTCCTAATCCTATTTGTGGTAGATGTTGTATGTTAGTTAGTTTCCATTCTCTATTCCTAGTTGTGTTAGAAGTCTCTCTTATATATACTCTATCATGTACTCCATAATTTAAAGAGCAATAATATTATTCCAATATTTCAACATGGTATCGGAGCCACCGTTCTTGGTGACCTAAAAAAAAGGTTCTTTGCTCCCACCGCTGCCGCCGGTAATTCCGGTGACGGCGGCTCCACCCTATTCACCTTTATTTTCTTTTTCTTTTTTATCATCAAATCAACTTCTCCATTCAAAAAAAAAAGAAAAAAAACATGTTAAAATCACACAAAAAAACAATCAAAGGAGGAACTTCTCTCTTGTCATCTCCATGGTTCTTCAAAAAAAAACTCAACTCCTCACAAACTCTCTCAACTCATCCTATCTTCTAAAAAAAATGGAAAAAAATAATTGTTGTTTCTCTCCCATTCACCATATCAAAATCTCAGCCCCAAATTTTTTTTCCCATCACCAATTCTTAACCTACTTTTTCTCTCTAAAATCACTTATTCTAATCATCAACCTCCCTTCTCTTTCTCTTTTGTTGAACCAATAAAAATCCAAAGTAAATCAACACAAAAGCAAAGTCAAGAGGGGAAGTAGTGAAAGAAGAAATAAGACCTCTACAACTCACCCCTTCAAGAAGGAAATAGGGCATTGCCCGGATCCAAGAAAACGACAAAGAATATCAAGGATCTTCAATCAAACAAACACCACCAATAGCCTTCTCTCTTCTTCATCGACGTCAGCAGCTACCAGCGCATGTCAATTTCTCTCTTCTCCAACGACGTTAGCAGCTACCAGTGCACGTCATACTTCTCTCTTCTCCAACGACGTCAGCAGCGAGCGGCGCACGTCAGACTTCTCTCTTCTTCAACGATGTGAGCAGCCACCGGCGCATGTCAGACTCCTCTCTTCTCAAAATTTCCATTTTCCAGCTAGTGTCCAAGCTTCCTCTTGCTTTAACAGAGTTCAGCTTGAGGGGGGATGTTAGACAATAATACTAATAGTACTTCTTGTAGTATTGGTTATGGTAGTGTTTCATTATTAGTCAGTTTCCTAATCCTATTTGTGATAGATGTTGTATGTTAGTTAGTTTCCATTCTCTATTCCTAGTTGTGTTAAGAGTCTCTCCTATATATACTCTATCATGTACTCCATAATTTAAGGAGCAATAATATTATTCTAATATTTCAACACAGTCGAATTTTCAGCTATTCATTTATAGCCCCAGATTCAGTACCAGTTCCCCTCACGCAAATAAAAAGATGAACCATGCTACACTTACACCAAAAAATATACCCCTTTTGTACACCACAGGTTTGCACAAACATTTTGATGGTTTACACCGACACAAGTGTTGGTGCGTTAATAAAAAGTCACACGGACACAAATGTTGGTGCGTTTAACAAAAATTAGTTTTACACCAACACAAAATGTTGGTGCAAAACTGCGGGGTACAAATTGGGGTACAAATCTTGGGGTACACATAGCATAATCCTAAAAAGATTCCATCCATCGAATTAAGCTAGGGGTACACGAACATGGGGTACCCCAAATGTACACCAAAGCCAACACAGACACACACAGACATTTTGTGTCTGTGTGTGTCTGTGTTGGCTTGGTGTACACTTGGGGTACCCCATGTTGGTGTACCCCTAGCATTGTCCTCCATCCATCACCTTAAAAAGCATACATAGATTCCTTTTCTCGTATACTCCATTACACAGTTTTGAATAGACGTGGCTAAATATGACCTGACTAGGAAATACACTCGGATTTATACTAAGATTTTATTGACTAAACCGAAAATGGACCAAACTCGAAATGATCTGCTAAAAAGAGGTTAAATCCATCACACACAAAATTATTTCTATTAAAAAATTAAATTTGTCCCTACTAATTCTTAAACAATCCATTACATCATATTTATTTTACAATTAATTTATTCATCAAATCCTACTTTTATCTATCACATCTAAGAACATTTTGAGAACTCAACACCCAAATACACTCTCCTTAATTCTCTTAACAATCAAAATCTCTCATATTTTTAGAGTCAAAGGGAGTATAATGTTACAAAAATCAGGTTATAATATGAGACACATTTTTAATGATATCGCAAAGTTTTATGACATTTATAATCAGATACACATTTTTAATGACATCGAAAATTTTATCACAATTTTAATCAAGTGCCAAAATAAAATTAACCAACTAAAATACAACATCTATCATAAATAAAAATAGAAGACTAACTAAAATACAAAGACAATCATAATTAATACTACTATAATAATTACCCCAGAGTATTATTATTATTATTATTATTGTCCAACACATTTGTTCTTTTAATAAGGTGATGCATGCTGTTGTAAAATTCATGAATTTTGTCCGGAGTCTAGTACATTTCTAATGGTATACACAGACATTTTCTCTTTCATTTTTCTGATATCTTTCACCGAATTACTTTCATTTTCTATTAAAAATTACTTTTTCACCTACTTTTTCTTATCCTATCTATCAAATCAATATTTCTTTCTAATATTATTCTATCAATCACATCTTACTTTTACGCATTACAACAAGAGCAACTCTGGAAGTCAACTAAATTTAACACTTTTTTGTTTTGGCACTTGATTAAAATTTGGATCGCTTTCAAGAACGAGGAAGTAGTATATTAGCGGCCAAAAATGGAAAAGTTTGAATTTTATCAATATATAATGGTAGTAATAAAAAAAATAGCCTATGACTTTAATAATACTCCTTATGTGTCATCACGTGTGAAAGTGAATGTAACCATTTTACCACTACGGAGTACATAAGAATTTAGACAAATCACAAATGCAGTCATATTCATATACGATACTCATATATATATAAGCAGAGGGGTTAGGGGTATACCTTAACGCCTCTTATATATCAAGAAGCAACAAACAATATTAATCAATTATAATTCAGACACAAATATGAAGTCTTTAATCTGCGGCGGCTTTCGTTCCAATAACGGTGGGGCGACTTTGATCAGTAGCTTATGTATCATCATGACCATCGCTCTTGCACTTGGTATGCACTTTACATGCTCCACCATCCTGTCCATCCTTAAATGAATTATTTCTAATCTATAAAAAAATATGGTGTATATTTTAAGTAACGCATTCTCTTATACTCCCTCCGTTTGGGAAAACCCTTCCCACTTTGAAAATAAGGCAAATTAAGGAAGTGTAAAATTATAGTTGACTTCCAATTTTGCCCCTGATGTGATGGGTAAAAGGAGTATAATGTATAAAAGTATGATTTTATGTATAAATTATTATTAATGAAAAAATATAATATGATAGGTAGCCAGGTAGGATAAAAAAAGTAAGGGTAACGTGATTTTTTAATTTACTTTTTCTGTCTCAATTCAAATTACACTAAAAGCTATATCTTCAAAATCAACTCTAACTAACAATATTATATTATCAAATATCCAACAAAAATAGACATTTAAAGTAAAAAAAATCAAGTATTTGAATATATGTAATGAGTTTCGATTTTAATGTAATGAGTTGTGATTTTAACTTTTTTTTTGTTTTGTTATGTTTTTTTTAATTGTTATGAAAGGTCCAATAATGATTGCAAAGGGTCAACAACATGTGCTTGTCCCAAACCTCCCATGCAGTACGAATATAGGATGTGAGGTAAATGCCGACTGCGTCAACCCATGCAAGGAACATGGCGGCGGACACTGCTATCATTTCTACGATGATCCATATGGTCTTTGTTGTTGCAGATTATGGACACCGCCGCCGCCGTACCACATATCCCAAGGACGGCCAGTGGAGTCTCTCTCATGAAAATATAATCAAATAAACAATCTACAGAGTATAAAAAAGAATAATGGAGGGATCGATTAATTAATTAATAATATTCTCATATATAGCTCATTGCATAAAATGAATTATTGCTCTCCATAGTTTTGTTCAGCAAAAGTGTTTGATGTAAAGAAACCATATATGCTTGTTAATGGTAATTTGTCATTATACTTTTGTTTTTAATCTACATTGTTCAATTTATTCCACAACACATATAATGTCTTTACACTTTTTAATTTTTCTTAACATCTGTGCAACAAATTAAAAATGAGAAATTTATCTAAATAAGACTAAAACATATTGACTTTCTCAATATAGCACTATATGTTTTTTCCCAATATAGGATCTTTGGTCATTATCAATTAGTCATTATTCAACTAAATGTCCATTATTACTGGACATTATTCCTCCCATTAGACATTATTAAATCTTATTTAGAGAATAAAAAAGTTTTAAGTCTTACATTGAGAAATTACTTATGTTTTAGTCCTATTTAGTGCAAATTTCACATTAAAAATACCTTCTCTATCTAATTCCCATATATCAAGTACTCCATGCGTCCACAAATAAATTTCTCATTCACTATTCACAAGGTCAAACTGTATTTACTTTGTTGGCCTATATATTTTCGTCATTCAGTTGATATATACTCCCTCCGTCCCGTGAAACATGAGAGTTTTGCTTTTTAGGAGAGATTTAAGAGGAGTGTATTTTGGTATTGAATTTCCAAAAATATCCTTTGATGTGATGGGTAAAAGTATGATTTGATGGATAGATTATTAATCCCTCCGTTCTAGTAAAAAACACTTCCTCTTTCATTTTTTTCATTTCCAACAAAACACTTCCATTTTCTACTCCCTCCGTTTGAAAAAAGTGTTCCTATTTTGACTTTGTATAAAAATAAGGAAGTATTAAATTGTAGTTGAATTCCAATTTTGCCCTTGATGTGATAGGTAAAAGTAAGATGTGATGGATAGATTATTAGAGATAAAGTATGATGTGATAGGTAGGGTAGGAAAAAGTAAGGGTAAATGTGGTTTTTTAATAGAAAGTGGAAGTGTTTTATTGGAAATGAAAAAAATGAAAGAGGAAGTGTTTTAAAAAACGGAGGGAGTATTAAAAACCCACTTTTACCCTTACTTTTTCATACCCTACCTATCACATCATACTTTTTCTCTAATAATCTACCCATCACATCTTACTTTTACCCATCACATCAAGGGCAAAATTGAAAGTCAACTACAATTTAACACTTCTTTATTTTTCCACTTTTTCAAAGTAGGAACTCTTTTTGAGAACGGAGGGAGTAGTAAAAAGGTATGATGTGATAGTTATGGTATGAAAAAGTAAGGGGTAAAAGTGACTTTTTAATAGAAATGAGAAGTGTTTTGTAGGACGGATAAAAAAAGAAAGGAGAAAGGTTTTATGGGACGGAGGGAGTATAATAATATAATCATGTCACATCTAGTTTTGTAGATCTTTTGATATAGTTTTTTAATATGTAATTTTTATTTTTAAATTTTACAGCACTTTTCATATAAAATAATTTAAAAATAACTTTAGTCAAATATCATAACTTGCAACGAGAAGTTTATTTATGAACGGAGGGAGTATTATTCCCTCTCCATCCATTAAAATTTTTCTCATTTCCTTTTGATTTCGTTTTAAAAAAACTCATTTCTATTCAAAAGTCACATTTATCGCTAGTAAATTCTTACATACTTATAATATCACACTTTTTTCTTTATTTATCTACACATCATATGTTACTTTTATCCATCACATCTAAAAACATTTTTGTAAAGTCAACACTAAAACACACTCTCATTAACCAAATAAACAAGAAGAATATTTTTCTTCCCCTTTTCTTTTTCTTTCCTTCTCAAATTCCTTGAACCAAACATAGTGTAAATACTACTTTGGAGAAACTATATGTCGATGTTACTTTGATCTAGGAATTCATAGAACTATTGCTGCCTAATTGGGTGCATTTTTGTTTTTGGTTTTTGTTCTTTTGTTTTTTGCTTTGATGATTTCAAACTTTCATGCTCGATTCGACGAGTAATGGAAAGTTGCTCACAAACCATCCCGGAGCATTCTTGTTACACTTTTCATTTTTCTCGTTTTTCTTGTTTTTGGGAAGAGAGGCTTTAATTTAAATTGGTTTTTTTGAAGGGATTATAACCTTTTTCTTGATAAAATAAAAAGCAAAACTATTTTAAACAATCAAAATATTTAAAGAAAAGTAAGAAGTGACAAAAAATAAAAATTGCTGTCAATTTATTTTTTTGCACAAACAGATTTTTTTTAAAAAAAAGTAATGGTGTTTTTATCAAAAAAATATAAATTAAATAATTATGAGTTAATAGAATTTTTTGATAAAATAAATAGGTTAAATAACACTAATCATTAAAATATGGCAAAAAGTAATAAAAACAATAACTCCCCATTGCAGGACCACCAAGGTTCCATGACATTGGGAACCAATGTCATGGGATGACCCGGGAGCGCTCCAGTGCCCCGTTCGTAAAATTGACGGTTCCTACCCTCCTAACCCCCCGGTAAACCCCACATCCTGCCTCGATCCGAACACACCCCCCACCCCCTTCAATTGCACCCCACAAGCATAAAGTCAAAACATGTGACTTTAAAGTCAATTATGCTTACGAGGTGTAATTGACGTAGGTGGGGGATGAGTTTGGGTCGGGACTTGGAAGAGGGTTTACCGGGAGTTAGGGATAGGAATAATCAATTTTATAAACGGAGCTCCGTAGGGGGCAGTGGCTTCCGTGGCCACTGAAATCTAGTAGCCATGGAACCGGGCCGTTGTATAAATATGGGTTTTCTAGTTTAATTTTTGACGCCTTGTGCAATTACACCTCTTGGACACCCAATTGAACCACAGGTCTGAATGCAATCTTTTAAAAATGGATGGAGTTTACTCACTAATTGACTAATGGTATGTAATAGCGGCCAAATTTGTAAAACGTTGAAATGTTTATTATCACCCATGCAATTATAATGGATAAATATGGTACTAAATAAAATCACATAAGAATTTTTTAAAAAGGGAAAGAGTTTAATTTACACATTAATATAACGGCCAAAATAAAGAACATTTTTAATGTTCATCAAAGGTATACAATGTCGTATATGGTAATAAACTTTAGTATTTTCACGTATGAAAATAAATAAGAATTGAAGTATAAGTTTTCTAACACTATATAAAGGGCCAGGTAGACACATGAACACATATATTAATTAGGCACGTCACTTATCAAGAACGGATCAGCAACAGGAATCAAATATGAGTGGCTTTGGCTCCAACCGTGGGACTCTTATGAGCAGATTATGTGTCATCATGTTGATAGCTCTTGCACTTGGTATGCATGCATGCATATTATATTTATAAAAAATAATAATAATGGGAACATATTTTTGTAACATATTTTTGTTGGGCGGTGCTCCTTGGACCACACGGCAAGAAGGAGAGCAAATCCCATTCTAAGTGGGATTGCTCTTGATTTGTTTCCTTGTTCATATTTAGTGATTTGTTTCCTTGTAGGAATAGAATTCCTTTTGTGTTTTGGTCTTTATCCTCTCCTATAAATAAAGGAGAAACTCCTTGTACTTAGCAGAACAATTCAATATACAGAATATTTTCCCTCTTATTATTTTCTTCA